GACCAGAGCGAGTTCACGCAGCCGCCGGCGGCCGGCCATCCTCGTCGGGGCGGGCGGAACCGGGGGCGCACCGCTGACCACCGCTCGGCTGCCGTGCAATGGATGAGAGGAATGAACCGACTACGGTCCCGCTCCAGGTAGAGCAACACGGGTCCGGACGAGCGAAAGCAACATAGCAGCCACTTGAATATAACGCACTAAGGAAAATAAAACCCTCAGCATCTCTAACGTGCCATGCAGCCCACAGCCTCAGCCCCGCTCACTGGCACAAGACTAGAATTAATGAAGCCACCGGTACAACGAGGGAACATCAACGAGCCTTGTCTCATATTAATCCAGGCTTAATTTCCTGTTGACACCGTCCTGGTTTGTTTGTTTTTTTCTTTTTTCTAATGTCACTCATAAGCCTACCGGTCCGGTGGAGTTGCCATGGCGCTGCGCTCCGTACGCTGCGTCCCCAATGAGACAATGCAACAGACGGGCAGAGGCTGATAACGTTACATGTGGGAGCAGGCAGCGGGGGGGAGGAGGAGCCACTGCACCAGGGCTGCACACGGATTGGTCGGGGAAGTTATTCGAATGGACGCGTGGAAAAAAAAAGATCCCCCTCTTGCATTGTGCAGGGTGTCAGGGGACAAAATGCTCACATTCCCACAGTGTTCCCATAGAGGAGGTGAGGATATACAGTGACCTCATCGTGCTCTGTACTACCACCAGTGGTATCAGTGGAGGCTATAGCACACTTTGCCCCAAGGCCCCCAGAAACACACACTTTTGTTAGTGAATAGAGCTTTTTTTACCCACAATGGTGAGAAAACTACAGGTGGAAATAATAATATTAAGAATGGCTGGATTCCATTTAGCTGCCTCAGTTTCAGGGTCCTAGTGCTGGCTCGCTCGTTGGACGCCTATAATAGGCACAACTACAATATGATTATGTTGAGCTGCATTTAACAAGAGACTGGTGTCAGACTTGTATTCTTTTAGTTTATGTTGTGTTTAATTGGTGCATGATCCCAAACATTGTGTTTAATCAAATTATCTCCAACTGACTGACACACTTTGGTTTCTGGGTCTAGACTTTAGACTTTAATGATAACTTGGGGAATGCAGGTTTTGGCGGGCAGTGGGTCAACAGTGACCCCTCTGAATGAGATTCAGACTCTTCTTAAACTAATGGAAAATGTCTTTATTATTATTTCTTTATTATTAAATCTGTTGGATACTTTACCAAGGCTGTTTGTTATTCTGGTGGATACAAACTTTTCACAAATTGCCTTTATATTATTTTAAACACATATCCTACAATGTGTTTCAATCTGACAAAAGCAGATTATTCAGGTTCTTTTAGCTTCACTCATTCACAATGAAGCTTCTGGAAAAGCTTATGGTGTTGATAATGTATGTGTGCGTCTGACAGGTGCAGTGCACTTTGCTCTAGTGCCACCTTTCAACCAGCAGAGGGCGATCTTCACCCACATCAGAGCATTTGTGCCTGACTGTTTCTACCAAACTGCAACCTGACAGTAGGACTTCCTTCAAGTTTTCCATATCTGAGTTAATCTATGTACATGCAGTTGCATTCAGAAGACTAAATACAGCAGCAGTATAATGTTCAACAGCACCACAATATATAAAATGATCATACAGTTAAATCAACACCCCAGTTTTTGAACACTGTATGTTCCAGAAAGGTAGGAGGTAGCTAGGTGTAGCTAATAAATGCAGTATATATACTGTAACATGATACCTTCAGAAGACAAAACATTATGGATCTCTGAGCTGATGTCAACTCAAGGTCCACTGAAGCTTTTGACCACATCACATGATCCTTATCAGCATATAGAGTTTGTCCTTTTCCAGAGGTGAAAGGAGTTCTCAGATCTTTTATTTAAGCTTTTCCTTAAGTTGGCATCAAAATATATTCAGAGTACCAAAAGTGAGAGAGTGTATCATGCTGGATGCACCTTTCCAAAATGGTATTGATGGATTATAATTATAATACTCCATGCTTTAATGTATACATCACTTTAATGTTGCAGCTGGTAAAACTGGGGTTTATTTTAAATACTTTACAAACTTAATCTGCTGGGTAGCTTGTGAATTGTCAACCCCAGGGATGAATAAAGTTTTATCTTAGTTTTATCTAGCAACCAACTGACCACTGCTGTGTAGGAGAAACTACAGTGGCTGTGAAACCTGTGGAAAAGGTGAACAGCCCTACAGCCAGTGTTTGGTTTGNNCTGTAGAAACATGGCAGCCTCCACTGAAGAAGAGCCTCAGCATCTGTAGATAAAAACTTCTCATTAGGTAACAAAAACACCACGATTCTTATTTTAATGTGATTATACACTAATGAAAACATACATATAAATATTATATTCCATTTCTGCCGTGATCCTCCTAGATGTTACATAGTGGACCTTTAAACTGTCATAATTTATTTGTTGATTATATTTTGCATTATTATTCAGAATCTCCAAAATACCAGATGTTGTAGAGTAGAAAGAACAACAATACAGCTACTAAATATACCTTAAATGTACTGTTACAGTTTGACTCACCATAGCAGGAAGAGCACAGTGGTATTAATAACTTCTTTGTTCAATTGTTGAGGACCATGGATTTAGCTGTGGTGGAGCTCGCTGTTTGCATGTCCTTGTCACCTGCTTCATAGTCGTCACTCACAATATATTAAAGAGATGTATGTCGACCAATTGTATTCTTCCTTATAAATTAATAACTAACATATTTTTGAGCTTCAAAGGTTCCTTTAAGTCAAGAATATACTTCAGGGCACTCAAGAGGGCCCACTGTCTGCTGTGATAAACAAAATGTCTTCAGTGTTTACTGGGTGGCGTTCTGTGGAGCTCAGTGTCACACAAATGTGTGAATAAGGAGTCAGTAAATAACAATAAATAGATCAGAAAACAATAAACTACATACATACTTACATTTGCTTCAGTTTGGAGACCCTGCACCTGAGATAAACCCTGATTTTAAATCTCCACGTCACTGCTACTATTGATCGTGATCAATGAAACAAGAGTATAACATACAGGATATGATAAACGGCTGTAATGTGGCCAACAGGGCGATCGAACAGTAAGGCCAAAGGTCAGGAGTTAACTAAATGTTTATGTGGTCAAATTCAAAGCAATCAGACCTCACGATAAAGCTGGCACCATGTTCCTGTTTGTCTGAATCATTACTGTCATGTGTTGTTTATGTCCCTTCACATTGTGGGTTGCCCTCATTACACTCAGGGTTGTGCTCCTCTGTGTGAATGTGTAGATGACAGCAGCACCAATATCACAAGTAGATGTGAGAATGCTTCATGAGATAAGCAGTATATGTGAATCTGGTTTGAACCACACACACACACACACACACAGATGCACCCCTGCATCCACACACACTGCCCACCAGGACGAGGAGTGTGTCTTTGTTTGCCGGTGTCACATATTTCGACTCCTCTCGACTCTGCCTCCTATAAAACAGCAGCAGCCAGAGCAGCTCGTTGGGGTTTGCTGACTTCCACCCGAGGGGACTTCACTGTCAGCCTGGGCAAGACCGCCGCACCGCTTCCATCACAGCTGGTCTTCGCAAGCCACCCTAAGCAACAAACAAACAAACATGGCTCCTTTTGAGAAATCCATGGAGATGATGCCCTTCAAGCAAAGGAAATGCCTCGGTACGTCACGTCTTTTACTTGATTGTTTGCTATAACAATGTGTGGATGCTGGTTTTATGAAACTGTGTATTACATTTCTTTTTAGAAACAAGAAAGGATGAAGTGTGCAACATTCGGTCTAAATTCCCCAACAAATTACCTGTGAGTTGCTCAGTTTAATTCTCTGTATTCTGTGTGTGTGTGTGATGGCACTATACCAGCTGACCTCAGGTGTGTCTCTGTGTTCAGGTGATTGTTGAACGTTACATCCGTGAACAGACTCTTCCCCTGTTGGACAAAACCAAGTTCCTGGTTCCCTTTGAGCTCACGTTGGGTCAGTTCCTGTGCCTGCTCAGGTAAACCATGTGTGACTGTGTGTGACTGTAGAGACTCAAAAACAAGCTTTATCCTGCTCAATGCAACCATCCCTTCTCTCCACTGTCTCCCCCGAGCTGTCAGATTCACTGTTGTTGCATCCACCGTCTTCAACCACCCTTTTCTTTCTGCCAGGAATAAGATTGCCTTGGACTCCACGCAGGCTCTGTTCCTCCTCGTGGCAGAGAAGAGCATGTCCTGCATGTCCTCCAGCATGGGGGAGGTGTATTCTCGCCACAGAGACACCGACGGTTTCCTCTACATCACCTACGCCTCGCAGGAGATGTTCGGAGCACCTCAACCAACAGCTAGGCCGCCCTGCTGAGCCTGAAGCAGATAAAATGAACTGGACCATTGGTGGTGACACCACACAACCAAACTGGAGAAAAAAGAGGAGAGATTGAGCCGAGTCTTATTTTTAGCCCCAAACTGCATTATCAGCCTACCTCACGAACATTGCTGGACTTCCTTTTTCATGCTCTGTCACCTCAGCGAGGTGGACAAGACTCAACCTGACGATGTCTATGTTTTAGACTTTATATATATATATATATATATATACATATATTATATTATATTTAATTTAGGAAACAATCAAGAAGATGACAGACTCTGAGTGTTGTGATCCTTCTCTGTTACTCCAAAACCTTAAAGACAGTTTGAAAATGATGATATTGTTTGACTGTTAAATGTCTTAACAGGTCAGAAATGTCCATATTCAGTTACCTCAGAGATGTAAATGTGATGTTCACAGTGCTGTAATGCCAGTTCAGTGTTAAACCACCACCTCCTCCTTCACGCTGCACAAACGGGGTCAATGTCTTGCTGGTAATCAGACTCCAATTTAGCACTTATCTCCCCTTCCTCCTCTCCTTCCTTCGATAGATTGCCTCTTCATCCTCGTCTTCCCTTTTAAAATGTGAAACTGCGCTCTAGACTTTTGAGGCACTCGCTGAAGACACGGATGTCAGTGATGCTAAAGCTGCTTTGATTTGTTCTGTATTCAGCTGTCTGTATTCCAAAAGAAATAAATTCTTGTCCTTTTAATTGATTGACTCTGTGTGATATTTTGGGTGCATAAGACATATATAAAGCATGCCTTTAAAGCATATTAAATAGAAAGATTTAAATTGATATTATGCTTAAAAGTTACATGTTGTTGTTTTGTTCCTACTTGCATGTGTGGCTGCAGTTTTCTCTAGCTCCATGAAAAAATAGTCCCTTCAAAATGTCAGATTTTTAGGTAACAGCTGTGTTTTCAAGTTGAACTCCAGATGTTTTGAGGTCACTGAATGGAGCTTGAACAGGCTAAGAATGGTGTCAAACCACAGAGAAATATCAAACCATCAAAAATAGACATTGTTTCATAGCATCTGACCGCTTTCTGAGTTGTTTATGGATCTACTACATTAAATACAGTTGAAGCCATGTGAGCGTCTACTCATACACATACAGGTGCCTCATTCCTCACCTGCCTCTGAGAAGTGGCACTCCCTCCACACAACAGTGTTACAGTGTTATATAAACCCAACCCAGTCAACTATCTGCAGGGGTCAGTGTGTCAGAAAGCTGGAGGGAGTATTTTTAGACATGAAGGAGCAAATGTGATCCAAAAACACTGAGACGGGGGGTTAGAGAAAGAGTCAGAGGAGTGACGGGAATACAGATGAAAAACAAAGAACAGGGCAAAGCTGAGCTCCGTAAACAGTGGAAGAAACGGAGGGAATAGGGGGAAAAAGAGAACATAGTGACGCCCTAACAGGGGAAGACAGGAAAAAGGAAACAGTGTATAGGAGAGATATACAGTGGGGGAGAGAGCCAGCTATCCAAACACACAGTGTACAGAAACACAGGGACATACAGTCGTACCTCCTCTCACTTCACACCACTGTGTGCATTCCAGAGGCTCTCTGTCAATATATTACCATACCAGAACAAGAGGAACCCTGAAGCTTCTGAGAGCTGTAAGTTATCTGTTTTGACCACAAATGAGTCTCAGTTTCAAACCGCTCAACACAAAATGCTACACTTCTCCTTTTGGCCTCAAAATCTAGTCTAGAATCTGACTTCAGTAAATCCTACATTCCTAAAAGGTATTTAATGATTGTTAATCATCCTGTTTAAAACCATATTTCAACCATAATAAAACATTAATACTGGAAATAACATCACTTTTATATATTAAAATTTACAATTTACACTGCAGTAACAGACACACTAACCAAAATCGAAATTTAATTTATCTTTTAAATGTATGGCATATGTAAGAGGCTTCAGTTCAGACATAACATTATAGGAATCTATTTGGTAGCTGTAGCAGTCTTTCTAAACTATTTTATTTTATTGGAATATTAGAAAATGTTGTGTTTGTCAGGGCAATATAAGTTATAAGTTTTGTATCTGTTTTCTGTTTTATATTCCTAGATATGATATATTTATTGTTGTTATTTTATCAGTTTATCCCTCTGATCATACCTCTTTTATGACCCTCAGCTACTCTCTTTATAGAAGTCTGTCCTATCATTTATAACCTATGTTCTATGGTCTATGTCAGTGGATCACAGCATTTACACAAAACAATATTTTTCTCTAATTTCTTTTGCAAAATACTGGATAATTTTACCTCTTGGATTGTATCATTTGAGCCCTCAAAGGTCCATCAAATGATACAATCCAAGAAGGATAATCCCTCTTGTGTACACATTGAGGCCTTAGCCTTTATTTTGAAGGGGTTACAATTTTGAAAGGTTGGGAACTACTTCAGGGTGTTCACAGTGAGCGGTAGCCCTGTATTATAGCTGCAGCAGAGACACGAAAGAAGAACACCATCATACATAATGTTGGAATTGGCACTAATATGAGTCAGTCCAAGCACCGTACCTGTAATAACTTATCAAGACACAAGAGAGCGCCTCTTTATCAAAGCCGAAATCTGCCACTGTGGTTAAAAAATAAACCCAAACAGCTGGTGAACATCATGTGTGTCTCACGATGACTGATAATCTAGTGAGTCAGTGTGCAGAACTGCAGTGAGTCTCTATGGAGTGTGCTGATGAGGGAGCGAAACATGACCCTGAGTGAAAGAGAAATGAGATGTCGATGACTCTGATTCAGAAGGTCACAAAAATGTGAAAACAACCAGGTGACGTCTCCAAGTCGAGGCTTATAGACGTAGAACAATGTGGAAAAATGTAAACAGACAAGTACAGACATGCAGTAAAAGATATAATATGGGAATGTGTTTACATAATTCTTGGCCTTGTATCAGTTCTTTTTGGTAACAAGGTTCACATGGAAAATACATCAACTTCAAACGTACTATGAACTGCTGACGTGCATCTGATTTACATTTCAGTTTCACATCTTATTTGAATCGAACAAACAGACGCCAGAGCAAATTTAGACTAGTTCAGGTTATATAACAGTAGAGGTTTACTCAGTGAATGTAAAGTGAAGTTCTCAGCAGCCAACTTCCTGTCTTTTCAGACTCCAGTATGACTTTAATAAAGCTACAGCTTCCTGTCTTACTGTTTATGATTTGAGCCTGGGCTGTATTTCCAGCTTTGTAAATTGTCTCCATGTGTCCTCGAAAATGTGCCAGAGAATGTCACAAGTGTCTGTCCCTACCACTGTTTTCAATTTGCCCTCAGAAATATGCAGAGGCCACTTGTTTCATGGGTAAATGGCCTTATATGTCCTGTGGCAGTGCTGACAGTGACTCTTTCTGCCCTACAGAGGGCAGTAGACTGCATTGAAACTATCAAAATGAGGGCATTTCAAAATAAAAGTCTCTGTATGACCTCTGGGTGACACAGTCCTTGACATGACCCTCAAATACAAATTACCACAAAACAAAAGCACACAACTCTGATTCAGTTCCGATTTATTGAGCAAATATAATATATGTTAATACGTTTTTAATTAGCGGCTCTTCCAGTGAGAGTTTCTTCCGTAAGTCAAACATCTGTTGAACCAAAGTCAACCTTAAAAATCCACATAACCACGAGTCAGATGGTACAGTATTCCTTTTTATTTATCTGGCAAAATAATAAAAAGGGAAGCATTTGGAAAGAGTCAAAGATAACAGTCAGGAAATACAAAAATATAGATAAAACAATTCTAACAGCTGTTTTGATTTATTTCCTTTTTCTCTCCAAATGGGAACAAAACTATATTTCTTTGGATCAACATATAATAATATGGACTGTATACTTATAAGACATCTTTTACACAGGATGCACACATCCATGTTCAGCCCCATCATGCAACCTCCGATTACCCATCAGTTCATGATCCAGTAATGTCCTTTCATCAGTTTGCAAATCACACCCCCCNNCCCCCCCCCCCCCCCCATTTATTTCTAATAGATATTGAAACATTATCCCCTAATGCACAAAGACGGACCTCCCCTCCCCCTGAACCCCTCCAGTCTCTCTCTGGTGAAAAAGATCACAGCGACAGCTCCTCGTGGTGTGACAGGAAGCCTGGAGACTCGCAGCCTGATGGAGGACGATGCTCTTCATGTGCTGTTGTGGTTGGACTTGGAGAGTCCGAAACATGATGACATGGCTGGTCTCCACAGACTGCTCCCCCCTCCTCTAGTCCTGCACGACTGTCCCGCGTTTGGATGGGGGCACCAGGTGTTCGGGCAGCGTGGGCGGCAGCTCGTGGCCCTCCAGCTTCACCTTGATCAGGTGGTTGGCCAGGGCGAACTCCTCGTCATCGAGGAGGCCATCTTTATCCACGTCTGCTAGCTTCCAGATCTTTCCCAGGACCGTGTTGGGCAGCTTGGACTTCAGCATCTCCTTCTTGGCTGCACCACCGGACACTTTGCCGTTGATGGGGGAGAGGGTGTAGAAGATCTCGTCGTACGTGGGCTTGTCGCGACCCACCACCCACTCCAGCTCGTCGATGCCTTCGCTGGCGCCCTCTCCGTAGCCGTGACCGAAGGGGCCGGTCATGGTTCCTTCAAAGGCTCCACCCTTGACGGACTGGCTGGGCATGGCGGCCTCTTCCTGGCGCACCATGGCCATGAGACGGGCGATGTCGTTGGCGAGCATGTCCTCCACGGCCTCAAGCAGCTTGGGCTTCAGCACTACAAACTTAGAGAAGTCCTGGCCATTCAGCAGCTCCTGTAGGGTTGGGGTTGGGGGGGGTCAAGAGAAAACAGGAATTGGGGATAGAAATAGATCAGTCTTCAATGGCTACCAATGAGAGTAGCTTAGCTTACAAGAAGCAGGATTTCCTGACAAACCAGGAAAAATAAATCTCATCGCTGTCCTGGCCCATCCTGCAGGGCAAGGGCAGGAAAGAAGGCCAAAGATGTAAAGAGAGTAAAGGTTGGGAGGTCATTATACTAACCTTTGTTTTTAAAGAGTCAAATTTGTTGTTTCATCAAATATGTAACTACTGTGTAGGTGGCTAGATTCATCTCTAGATTCATCTCCTTTATTTAAGTCTCACCTGCATCTTGGCGAGGTTGGGGAAGTCTCCAGGTGAGATCTGGTGTTCCTTCTCGATCCTATGGTAGATCTCTCCCAGGTTGGCTATCAGCTCCTTCTTCTTGGAGTCCTTTCCAAACACACTCGGCATTTCCTTTTTCAAAGAGCTGATAATGTAGGCTTGCACCTGGACACCATAGAAGAAATAGGACACACATTTTCATTACTTTTGTAATAACTCTGAGAAGTTGCATTATATATATTCTTATATTTTTTAGTCATTTCTTTAAAGCTGGCTGCTCCATACAAACAACAACACGTCATCCTCCACTTGAAAGGATGATACATGTTCAGAGTTTGACACTAGAAGGCTTCACACATTCATCTGCTTCTCTGGGTTCGCATGAAATCTAAGGCGTGTTTGTACTATTTTGTCACATCTAGTTTGGAAGTCAATCACGGTCCAGTGTGAAACTTCGGTATACACACACAGATAGTTTGGACTTTACAGTGAAGTGACATCTTGTGTTTAATGGTTCAACTTTTTCAATATTTGCATTTTTATATGTTCTGTATTTTTCGATGAGGCAGAAGGACTACATGCAATTTAAGAGTATTTTCATAGGTCTGGAGGGGAAGTTGGGAACTTCTGAAATATACATATAGAGTGGTAGCAGAAATAAATATTCCCTCTTCTCTTCTTGTACGTGTCACAAAGTTAGTGGTATATCAGATTGCTACAATATTCAGAGAAATGACTGTACTCACTTCTGCCTTTAGTAAGTTAAGAAACTAAACACTAACATAAAACAAATGTTTTTGTGTGTTATTCTCCTGTGACTAAAGGGCAGAGGGTAGTGGTGAGAGAATGAGGAAGAAAGAAAGTGAAAATGAGATGAGTTGATGCAGCTCTTTAATCTGGTGTATTTTCGGTACTCTAGCAGCAAAGCGATAGGGATGGTTTTCCATGTACAGACATTCATGGTTCCCATAGGATGACTCCTACTGCCTTTGGAGATCCCCTGACTTTTCCTCCAGCATCACCACGAGTTCATCTCTCTGGTTTTGAGTGAAATGTCTCAACAAATATTGGATGGACTGCTATGAAATTCAGTTCAGACATTGATGTTCCCTACAGGATGAATTGTAATAATCTTGTTGATCCCTTTTCACCTACAGCCACCATCAGGTCAAAAAGGTAAATTGTCAATTTACTTTTATTTTTTTACCAAATACCTGCAAAACCTCCAACATTTCCACCAGCCTGAGTTGTACTTTGTGTTTAGTGCTAATTAGCAAATGTTAGCATGCTGACACTCTAGATTAGATTAAGAGCCATTATTATAAGCATGTTAGCATGTAGCCTTTAGCTGAAACCGCACAGAGCCACCATGTAGACTCTTGGCCTCGTTAATACTGACCTTGGCGAGGCGTGCTCGTTTGATGAGGTCATTGAGTTTGCGTAGGGCTGCGTTGCGTGGCAACGACTGGATGTCCAGGAACAGGTCCTGCTCCTCCGCCTCAAACAACTTCCTGTTGTCTGGGACCAACAGTGGCTGAGCCCAGAACGACCCGATGTATACGCGCACCACCTGGAATAAAGTTTGCACAGGTTAATCTCCGCTGTTCATCAGGTTCCACTTCACTGCCCACACCCACACAGGAGTCACTTCTTTCACAGGTCACACACATGACATTACAATCTGGCTAGAATGTGTAAAGAGACGCAAAAAAGAGACGACTGTGAGGTTGACAGTTAAACAACAATAACATCTTAAAATGTCTTGAACTTCACAGTCGTGTTGAAGCTTCACAATGCCCTCTCAAAGTCAATTAATAATTGTCTGCATGATCCAAAGGTTTCTCTGGGACTGGTTTATGAATATGGCCCTGGATCAAACATTAACTAAACATTCAGGAGAGACTCATAAGACACGCTGGGTCACACGGTCAGCTGGTGCACTGGGTTTAAGACAGATAGCATACAAACTTCACTTTCATTACTCGTGTCTTTGGTTACAATGATAAACGAAGAACATTAGCTGAAATAATCTTAAAATCTGTCACTATTTATTTACACATCCTCAGAGAAGTCCTCTTTCCACTGAACCTCCATAAGATTCAACAGGACTGAAATGTTCCATTTAAATACATCTGTGGATTACACAAAAGCACAAATGTCTTCTAACCTCAGGCGTGTTGATAATTTTTCCCAAAGACCACATTAGCGCTCCATAGACCCTCATCAGCTGCTGAGTGCTGATCTGGTCCGCTTTGTTCAGCACCACGCGCATTTTGTCCTCGTGGTTCTTCAGAGCTCGGATCACCTCAGAGAACTCGTCAGAGATGTCCAGTTTGTGGGCGTCGAACAGGAGGATGATGCGGTCCACGCGCTCTGCAAACCACTCCAGCACGGCGGCGAAATCATAACCTGGAGAAAGAAAAGCAGACGAGGCCAACTGTTTTAAACACACGAACCTCTTCACAGGAAATTGTCTGAACCTACTTTCAGTGATAATTCTGCCTTTACATGTTTTGATTCTGGCTTCACTAACAGGTTACTGCACTAATATCTTTGGGGGATACTCCAGCAGTTATGTAGTAAGGACTATTAAAATATAAAATCTCTCAATGTGGAGTTAAACGGAGTCCTTATATTAAGCCTTGTTGGTTTGGTCATCTACTGAGTGAGATTATTCTTAGTATGATCAGATGAGAATCACCATTGAAACCAGGACAAAGCATTCAGAAGAGGAAGATGCTCACTGTGTACTAACATACAATGATTGTAACTGTCTAATTTCCGCATATAGCTAATTGTGCACTGGCACTGTGCTTCCTAATAGTACACCAAGCAAATATGGAGAAATACAAGAGTTCAGCCTGACAAAGAGCTCAATGGCACCAATCAGTCAATAAATTGTGTGGTTGGCGCGGGGTTAATTGTACGTTCATATTCCAAGTAATGTTGATCCAATAATGTTTAGATAAGCGCTTTAAAAAGGGCAGGGTTTTCTCCACTGGTTACCTATTAACTAGCTTTACTGAGGCAGCGGGAGAGGAGACGACTGGGACCTGAAGTCCTCTTGGAAAAAACCTGACTCGTCACTCATGTATTAGCCTCAGGCATGAAATGACCTCTATCTGGGACTGTGTTCAGCAGTGTACCTTACAAACAACAAGCCTGTCTGTAAAGACGAGAGAGCAAACGTTTGAGATAGTCAGTAAATAGGGTTAAGATAAAATTCAATGCGACGTCAGTGAGGACAGTAACACCTAAAAGTGTTCAGATTGTTGGTTGTGCTACTACCACATTTCTGTAAGTGCTGGAGTACAGAAACTCACTGTACTACTCACTTCCTTTGGTCAACTCAGAAACAACGGGACTAACTCAAATTACATAAAACAGAACTTTCCTTTGCCTCGAGGAGCTGGGGAGGGAGCGAGGAAGAGAGAATTATGGTTTTGATTAGCATCTGTGTGTCATCTGATCAGAGAAGAATGCGGTTGCTCTAAAAGCTCATCTCGGCTGTCGCACAATCAGCGGCAGATCTGCTGCACATGCATTCCAACGTGGCCGCCTTTTGTCTGTGTCTTTGCACATGTATACCAAAGAGAGACGGGGAGGTACAGCTGGGAAATGGACAGTTAGGCTAAATGAGACGGCGATATAGACGGATGGCGAGGGAGATAGAGAGGAGAGTGTGAAGGAAAGGGAAAGGGAGAGGGAGAGAAAAGAGGGGGCGGTGAGGAAAAGTGAAAGCAAAAGAAAAACTGTAACAAGAGATGGATATCGAAGACAGATGAGGGCTGAAAGGAGTTTGTGTCTGTTTGTGTCCATGACAGCATGTGAAAGTTGAGGGGGATAAAAGGGGAATATTTAAAGTCCAAGATCCCCGTGGGAGCCAGCCGCGGACATTTGCTCATTCTCTCTTAAGTCTGTTTTTAACGCGCGCGTCAGGGAATCAAACAGAGAGACAGCTGCCAAAAGCTTAGACTTACTTATAGCACAGAGCATCAACAACTGCTATGTTCTGCCATAGGCGCAGACATGCAGTGATACACTCACTCCCTCATGACAAATTTGGACAGGCCTCAGAAGTCCTCTGCCAATCATTGACAGAGACGTGGAAAGACTGAAGAGTTGTTTTTCTGGTTATATTAGAAAACACAGTCAAATCTCCTGGATAAGTAAAGGAATAGGAAAACCTGGTGATTAGACATAAGAGTGGTTTTAAGCTCGTCTAACTCTGGGCAGGAAGGCAAATAAGTGTATTTTCCAAAAACTATTTCTTCTGAGAAATCTTTTTTTGCCTTTTTTCTTCTGTGAATTGCTGTTTAAACACGGCGTACATGTCAAGTCATCTGCAGCAATTATGGGAAAGACGCCAACCAGTTCTGCAAAATCACAGTTTCATTATAGTTTTCATCACTTCATGTTTCGCTCAGGAAGAAGCACTGACTGAGCCATACTTGCTGACCTGTTCAAAAATTATTCCACAACTGAAGTATTATGCAAAAAAAAAAAAGGTTTGGCATCCATGAATGAACAACACGGTTTTTACTGGTTGGTTGAGCCGGTATGCTGAGCACTGACACACACACGTCCGTCACACTTGAGCTGCACAATCCAATCAACCTTGTTTATACATGACACAGTCAGTACAGTATGTCTGGGTAGTACAGTATCCGTGTTTACACAGAAACAGTGAAGAGGATAACGTGTGTGTGTGTGTGTGAGAGTGTGTGTGAGCTTGACAAAGAAAAAGTGTGTGTCTTTGAGAGTAAAAGTGTATAAGTATGTATGTATAGAAACAAAAGTGTATGAGGCATCAGATTTCATCCAGTCTTACTCTTGATGGGGTCACCTCCACATGAGTCTTTTCATTCATACAAACACTTCCTTTGGGTTCTTATCATATCGTTATTTATGGTTGTTTACAGTCGCTTCTTTGGCCTTTCACTGCCAACCACCTGCACTGCTTCTGTCTCTCCTTCTTATTGGGAAAAGTCTGAAAAGTCAGAAGTAATGTAATGTCAAATTATTTGTTTTGTGCTTCCAACAGTCCAAAACTCAAAAGGTTAACAGTTATATAAAACAGAGCAGCTTATCTTCTTATAGAAACCTTATAACCAAAGAATGCCTGCCACTTCTGCTTTAAATGATTAACTAATAGTTTAGGAATAATAGTTAACAGATTCATTTTCCGTTGACTGGCTGCCCTTTAAAGGCTACTCGTTTCTATGTTTTGTCTTCCCCTTCCTGCTGCGTCTTGCAGGAAATCAGACTCTGTAATGAAGAGCAGATTACCGGACTGTGTATCAGCTCTCTGTCTAACACAGGCGGTGCTGGTGGGTGGGGGGTAGTCTTGGGAAACTCTCTGCTATGTTTGCCATTTTACTCCACATCCTTTCCCTAGAGTACACAAAACCTCTGCTGCATGTATGTGTGCTTCCTCTCAAGGGGCTCAAGTCAGGTAGAAAAAGCAGAAGCTGTGTTCAGCTGCACTGTTATCTTCTGCCTGTGTTCTGTCACATCATCAAAAGTGAAATAAAAACTGTGTATGTGGCAATTTTGAAATGACCCTGTAGGTCACAGAATTGTTGGATCGTGTGGAGAAATAGATAAAAATACAAATGATTTATTCCCACAGTGCACAGGGAAGTGACTCAGATGTAAAGTGGTGAATGATACGGCACAAACAGAGAGGGCAAAAAGCCACTAGGAGGAACTGTTTTTGATTAATGCCGATTGTTTAATTTCTTTTAATATAAACCTAGTTAAGATAAGATAAATAACACTATCTGAAAACAAAAAGAAAGAAAAACATTACAGTAGGGAAGGATGTGAAAGAGGATGGTGTTGGGTAGAAAACCACAGGTACTGAAACAGGAAATGAACATCAAAGTGGTTTGCGCCCTCTCCTTGTTGCTGTCGAACTGCGAAGGCTTCCATCAGACCTGAGGGTGTTGAATACTGGTTCGACAGCACTAGAAGCTAGAGCTGACCTTGTAAAGCACGTGGCAAACAGAAATAACAGCAGAAACTTACAGAATAGTAAGAGTATATAAGTTGGTTCCTTTTCGAATTTGAACTTGTGACTTCCTGCGTTTTGCATGCGTACATTTTAATATGAGGTTTCTGAGCAGAGAGGGTGTGGCCCTGTTAGACAGCGGTAGTACTAGTAGTGAGTGAGAGAGAGAGTGAGAGAGAGAGAGAGAGTGGGTAAAGTGTGGGTGTTTACGTCAGGCAGACCTCTGCTTATCCTCTGTTTCTCCCCGGACAGGATTCCCGGAGTATCGATGATACTGATGCTCTCCAGGACCGGGTTGGGCATCTGGGCGCACATGAACCTGCAGACAAAGTACAAGGGTGAGAGAGGGAACAGAGCAGAGAAAGGGAAAGTAAAAGAGAAGATCGAGGACATGAGGCATAGGGGCAGAGAGGGGAGGGTTGGAGTCAGGTGAGAGTGTTTATACATAAGCTTGGCACTAAACAGACATTATTCTGGAGGTATTCAGTAACCGTCTCCACGCTCTCAGGCCCGAACATCAGGGGAACACCCTCGCTGGGAAACATACACAAAGTAGCAGCGGGAGTGAGGGAACGATGTAGGTCAACGTGCTGTCAGTACAACGTGTTCACATTTATATAATTAGTTTATAACAACGGGTACTTTTTAAAATAATATGAGTCAGTTTCTGCTACAAATGTTAATAGTAGTGAAAGATGTCGCTCTCGTTTATCTGAAGTCCAAGGTGACATCTTTAAACTACTTGTTTTGTCTGACAAAGAGTAAAACAAATCTAAGATATTGAGTTTACCATCACACAGTGTCTCACAATTGAAAAGCTGATTCATTATTTCAGCTTTAGTGAACCCCGTGAAGTCGTTTTCTTCGCTACGTGATAACGTGGTCAGATTTTCCAATCTGGGAGGAGTGGGTGCTTGTGGGAGGTCAGCGTTGATGTAAGAATGTGAGGGAAACTTTGGGACGATGCTTTATAAGTTACGAATTGTAGTCCTGAGTCATTCCAGCATAATTCACCACACAATGGGCTCTTTTTAGCTGAGACACAGGTTTAAAGTTTAAAAAGGGGGAACGAGCCAAGACACACACTCTCACTCAAACACAGACAGATACACACACTATAAAGCACGAGAGGATGAGTGGTTCTGCGTAAACCCAGAGCATCCCGCTCAGGACAAAGAAGGGGATTGTTAAGAAAAACCCACAGCTCAGAGTTCGACTCCTCGCTCTGCTGCCCAACGTGAGCTCAGAGGCACCGGGTCATAAGACCGGGAGAACCGTGCTTTTACATTCCTGCTGCAACCACACACACACACACACACACATCACAGCGACACACACACACACCACTACACACACATTGACGACATGACCCTAAACACGAGGCTCTCGTGCTCACGGCATGGGAGGAAAAAGGAAAAAAATCGCAAGGAGCAAGATGAGCAGTCCTATGATGTCAACAGGAGTATGACTGACCGATCCTATGCATACTATTACGTTACAATAACAGTGACGGCCAAAGATAACAAACATGCAGATTCTCCCCCTCCCTCCCATCGCTGACGGCGTATCATATCCTGTTGGAAGTTTGGCTCTGGTTTTCCATTTAACTGTCAGTCCCTACATTTTTCCACACAGGGAGCTTGTAGGAAAAAATGCTCTGATGATGAACTCGTGCTGGATTTCTTAGAAAGAGACGACCCTACCAGGAACGGGGCCCCAAAAGCCTCGAGCTCTCCGAGATCCTCCGCCGTTGGACAGTGAGAGAGCCATCCTCTCGGGGAGGCTGCAGTC